CCCCCCCCCCCCATTAAAAACGCTGCATCTACGTCGCCCCCTTTCAGCTCCTGTGGGGCAAGGCTCTGCCCGAGGACGAGGCGCTTGCTCTCGACCGGTGCCTCCGCGCCCTATCAGAGGTCCTCGGGGATCGAGACCAGAGCCGGAGGAGCCGGAGCAAGCGAGAGGCAGAAGAACTTCTGGCTGGCGGCGGCAGCAGCGGCAGCTGCGGCGTGTTGCCCGTTTCGGCGGCGGCAGTGCCGGAGGGAAGAGTCCGAGGAATATCGGCCGTGCGCGCGGGCGTAAGGCGACGACGGATAGGATCTATGACCACCAACTCCTCCGCCGTCGACCATGCTGCTGCTGCTGCTGCCGCGGCAATGGAACGACGCTCCGCAGGAGACGCGGGAAGCGTGTCGGCAGGATGGGTGCCGAGACTTCCGGCGTCGCCGACGACGAGGGGAAGCAAAAACTCGACGGGGGTTCGAGGTGTGGGTTTCGCAAGAGCGACGGAAATCGAGCCCTCGAGTGCTCTTGCTGATCGCTCGGAGAGAGCAGCTTCTGGTGCCGGGGAGGCTGCCGCCGCCAGCGGCGCTAGCCCTCCGCCGCCGCAATCGGGGGCAGCGATGGTCGTCGCTGTTGTCGAAGGGGGAGGAGGAGCGGCGGGAGCACCGAGCCGTGGCGGCGCCCCTCTTGCCGGGGGAGAAGAAGGTAACAACACGGCACGAGACGAAGAGTGCCTCCCGTCCGTGCTTCGGCAACGGGTAGCCTCCGTGGCCGAGAAGGTGGCCGCCGCCGGGGCGCGTGGGGCGGCCTCGACGGACGTCCAGGGCGCGGCCGCCGCAGCCGTGTCCCTGCTGCGCGAGGCGACGAAGCTGCCGTCAAACACCGCCCCCACGTCGCCGCCGACCACTTTGGCGGTGGATGGGTCGTCGTCGTCCACCGGCCCCTTCTATGATCGACCACGGCCGCAGCTGCAGCAGCCGCTGGAGGCCGTCTGCAGCGGTGTCGGCCTCGACATCCCGCGGGGGAAGGGGGCCACGGCAACGGCGGGTTGTGGCGACGACCTCGTGATGGCGGTCTGCGACGGCTTCGTGACGCCGGCGCTGAGCCTGAGGAACTGCCTGGCGTTCGTGAGGGCCGTGCTCGTGCCGCGCGCCAGGGCCCTGACCGCTCCCGCCTCGAGGCTGCTGGTGACGGCCGTGTCCGGGATCGGGAAGGCGCGCCCGGGGGTGGTCATCGACGGGCTGGTCCTGCCGCTGCTGTGCGGGGGGGACCCCGCCTCGGCTGTGGGCTCTGCGCAGTGCGAGCTTTGCACGAGGCTAATCAAACAGGTGAGGTGCGGCGGCGTACATGCTGTCGGTGAGTAACAGGGGGAGCAGTCGGTTTAAATTATTGTGTGGGTGTGCTTGTGTGTGTAATTTTGCGGTACGCAGACGTACCGTACCGCGCAGTCGTAAGGCTTCGGTTTGAGGGCGCGCAAATCGCTCGGAATCGGTTATGCTCGAGTGACAACTTTGGTTCCTTGCACGTTGAATTATTGTGTTGAGTCCGGAGAGTAGGCCCAAGCCGTTGATTGCTGATGATACATTTCGAAGGCTCGAACGCCTGCACGCAGCTCGTCAGGTATAGGCACATGGCGGGGGAAGGGGGGGGGGTACTCATAGTCGTGCATGCCGTAGTCGTTAGACCATTGACCTCGCATCCCTACAAAGCCGGGACGGAGCACGCCGGGTTCTCACCGGACCAGGCTCTCACATCACCAAGCGCGAAGCGCCGTGAGATATTCGGCGAGTCGCATGAAGGGTGCGCTGCATCCTGCTAAGGGTGTTCGGCATCTTGTGCTTACTTCCTTGCGTACGGATGACAGCTGCGTATGAATTAATTTATTTTCTGGTGCTTTCACTTCCAGAGACAGTTGTAAGCACTGTGTAACTGCCTCGAGGGTGCTTGACCATTTTAACACAACGTGGTGCGATCATCCCCCTTGCGCGGAGAGAGGCTCCTCGACCCCGCACAACATGATCTACTCGACCACCACTATGGTTCCCGCTAAAAAAAAACAAAGGTAAAAAACAAACAAACGGTAATCTGGTTGCCGAGTTCACGAAGTGAATTGGCTTGTTTTA